AAAAAAAAAAAAAAAAAACTAACCTCAGTGGGAAGAGGAACCCATATCTGACAAAAACTCCCAGGCACCACAAAGGAAACAAGTATATGTTCCAGTTCCATGGCTCTGGATGATTAGACTTGAAGCATCTTGTGAAAGAGTCCTGCCATGCATGAAGAACAAAACTCGGTTATGCTTCTGAACCGCATGAATACTGAGCATGAAACAGCCAGTAACAGGAAGAACAGTGAGATGATGCATAAAAATACCACAAATTAACAATAAACCGCATCAATTCCATTAACCAAGAACAAATTATTGCAATCAAACTTGTGCAATGCTTCAAATTTAGAATTTTACTATCTCCACCCAAGTCATAGATCAGCTAGAAAAATACTTTCAGAGCAACTTTCCAAGAAACAGAGAAAACCCATGATCAGAATTGATAAATTATCTTTTCTAATTTACTGAAGTGCCATTTCCGATTGTCGCTATCCTACCAGCGTTCAATCTTTCACCCACAAATTAACCTTCAAACACAGAACATAAAAGAAGATGAAGGAGGAGCTTACATCAACAACGGCACCAGCCGCCTCTGTTAGAGTCGGAGAAATATCGAGCAAATCACGCCTGTATACACACAATAAGTTGAAATTTACTCAAGGAAAGGTACAGATGAACAGAGAGAGAGGATGGAGGGCCCAAAATTTACAGGCGGAGCTTGGCGTGAGACTCTTGAATGGATCCGGAAGGAAGGTAATCCTCGATGTTGGGTCGATCGAAATCCAATTCGGAGCTCGATACTTTGAGCTTGCTCATCGTCCTCGTTAATATGACGATTGCTTTTTGCTCCTCTTGTCAATTGTGATTTGAAGATTGTTTTTCCCCTATCCTTCTCTGTTTTCCGGTCCGGCCGGGCCATGCTTCATGAAATAAAAATAAAAATGCATTTTATTACGGGATGTTCCGTTATTTTTTGTAGCCGTAGATATACATGTAATTTAGTAATGTGTAGATAATCTACGCTTAAAAAATACAACAGAACCATCACGAGACTGTAGCCTTCCCCACTATCTAATGAAAGTATGTATTTTTACGAACGAGTGTAATAATAATCAAAAAAGGGTTTGATATGAGATGTCATATCAGTTGTCACCTCACAGGTAAGAGAACTCGCCAATAGTTGGGGTATCGGCTGATGTAAACTCGACTTGGGGGTCTGTAAGTCGATGTACGAACTAAGGGTATGTTTATCCATTGAAGGTTGGAGCAACTTGGTTCAAGGGAATCTGAGCTTGTAGCACAATTAGACTACCTGATATGTAGTCTAAGTAAACACACTACATAATAGAAAAGAAATAATATAATTAAAATAATGGCACGTAAATAGGACCAAGTGGCCGAAGAGAATTTGATAGTTTGGGCACTTAGGCATTACGAACGAGTAGCTCGGGCTAGTGTTGCAAACGTACCGAACTGAACTGAGCTTGGCTCTTCGAGCTCGAGTTAAGTTTGTGTTCGGCTCTTTTAGGTAATCAAATTGAACTTTTCTTGCGTTCGATTAGCTCGAATTGTGCGAATAGTTAGATTATCAAAACTTAAAAAAAAAATGCTTATTTACTTTTATTATTATTATTATTATTATTATTATTATTATTATTATTATTATTATTATTATTATTATTATTATTATTATTATTATTATTATTATATTATTATTATTATTAAAAATCTTGTTGTTCACGAACACTCGTTTATGTTCGCGAACGTGTTCGTGTTCGTTCTAATAATAAACGAGCTGAATTACATGTTCGAGCTCGGATCAATTATTAAACGAACGAGCGCTAACGACCTTTCGTTCACGAACGTTCGTTCGTTTGCAGCAGTAGCTCGAGCAACCCAACCGGACAATCTTGGACAACAAGGTAACATCCCTATATAAAAAGGAGGTGATGTATGATCATTTACGCCCTACACACCATAATATACCTACAACTATATACAATTCATTTTGTTCATCGTCTTCTTGATTACAATTGTCTGACTTGAGTGTCAGAGCTTTTACACCGAGA